AGGTTAGCCTCTTGCGGAATAGAGACAGGGAATGTGGAATACTTAGAAGCGGTAGGGACTCCATGCCCCAGACAATCTCGATCCTAGCTTTGGGTTAGAAATGCAACCTGAAATTCACCAAGGGCAAACAAATGAAATGAGTCATATGTCGATGCACGCATTTCCTGGGCCATTGCAGCGGGGGCCCTCACATCCTGCGTGCTTGGTCAGATGGGTGGCTCTATCTGGCTTGCCTGAGTGGCCTCTTGGGATTCCATTTCTGGGATTGTGAGGGAGGAGTGAACCTGCCGACGGGAGGAAGGAAGCCTGCAAGCTGCTTCCACCTGTACAGGAGACAGCTGGTCTGCTCTGCTGCGGGAATCAGGTGATGGCAATTTCTGAGCATCGTTTTCTGCAAGTGTTATTCCCCTACTCCCCCGGGTGTGGCTAAGCCTCCACTTTGAAGATGTGGGCACAGCAGTGGCTGAAGCAGGTGGCTGCAGACCTCCAGGAAGCCTTCTCTTTCTCAGACCCAGAAAGTTACCTGTCTAGATAATGAAATTGATTTTGAGGCTCTGTCAAATATCTTTTTTTCCCCCCTCAGGAGAGCAACCAGTTAGTAATTAGTTGTTCAATTCAACTGTTTTTTTCTGCTTTCTTCAAAAAAAAAATTTTTTTTAAAAAGTGGTAGATATTTTTTTTCTGGGCAAATTCTTAGGATTTAATTGCACTTAAAAATCGTGGAGCCTGTCAGAATAAATTGCACATAGAATAGTCTTACCCAATAAAACTAGTCCTGTGATTGTCACCGTTGTCAGGCTTCTCAGATCAAATTGTGGGAAGGACAATTTAAGTCTACGTGGTGAATCGCACTTCAAATCAGTATTCAGCATGAAGCTCGTCACACTAAAAAACAAATACCCAAGTTTAGCAACCGTGATGTGTGAGGCATCAGACTTTGATTTTAAAATAATTCCAAAATTTGCCCCTGAAAAGAGAAGAAGTATCTACCCCATTGGTTTAAAGTTAAGGCAGTGGCATGAAATCTGTAAAAGTTTTTTGAAAAGACAAAGTTTTTATAGCATATTAAAAATAGTGAAGCATAAACAGTATTACCAGCTTCACGCAAAATGGCATCTGCTATTTGGCTCAGTCAAATTCTTGTTTATTCCTGGTAGCAAAGGAGGATGGTTATATGTCAGGAGTAGAAGTGGCCAAGTCTTTAGTGGTTAGAAAAGAGACTACAGTTAGGGTATGAGAACCCCAAGTGCTCTTATTTTTTACCCTAAGAAACACTTTCGTTATTTGTTCCTCTACTTTCGATAAGTGATTAATCAATTTATTTTCATGGAAAGCAATTGTCATACCGCACACGTCTTATCTGTATGACCCATGTGAGTTCTTGGGGAGAAGAGGGTGCCCCCTAATGTTTACTCTCCCTCCCAGATCTCACCTCTGGTGTCGGCAAATGATAAACCTCAGTTGAATGAGTATTGAATCTACGGAGGATGAAAGGTAGTTACTTTATTTTCTGACACCATTTTTAAGCTAACTGTATTATGTCTATCAATGACCAACATTTAATTTATATAAATAATATATATATATATACTTTTATATACCTCCCTGAACATCAGGATGGATAGGAAAAGCACCTCCCTCATAAGAAAGTGTCACTTCTACTCTTCAGCACTGCGGAAAAGGTGAGTTGGATGCTAGACTGCTGAGTTGTTGAAACTTTTAAGAAGTGAGATGCTCAATGAGAATTGGCACTTAGCAGTTGGGAGTTTGGCTTCCAGAATGGGACTTCCTCAGGCCCAGTGGTGGCTCTTCAGCTTTGTGCTGTGTTGTGGAAATTACTTGGTCTTTCTACCTCTCACTTTCCTCATCTGCAAAAGATGTGGACATCTGTGTCTTCATCATGCAGCTATTGGAAGGATTAACCACACAATCCATGTAATGTATTTAGCACAGGGCCTCATGCTTAGAAATCAATTGTTAATAAGAAAACAGGATTTAACAAAAACAAAAGTAGAAAAACTAAGCTGGTTGAATATATTTTTTGAAGGGCGTATTAAGAGTATTAGTATGTTTATGTATGCATAATAATTAATGTGTTAATTGATTATATACATTCCTCTTCTCTGAATCCTAAAGACATTTAAAAATACATTGCCCATGCAAGTTATTAATTAGTATGATATGTAGACATGTACACAGATACACATATATATTCAGATACGGGTGTGTGTGCACACAGATGCAAGCACACACCTGTATCTGGCCAGTTTGTACATTTTGCAAGCTGTCAAATAACAGCAGAGGGCTGGTGTCAGCTCTACACCTGCTCTGGAGCTTCAAGGATCCTTCTAGCCAACTTTAGCTTGGACTCTTCCACCTAGAAGAGAGGACCACAGACACTGCCGTTGAACTAGAAAATCCTGGTGAGTGAGTCTGAGTCAGAAGCGCGGGGTGCAGTGGAGGACAGGCTCACAGGCTGTTCCCTGCTGGCACCACAGGCTCTGCGAGCCTTGAAGGCCACTAGGGACCTGCGGAAAGCCTCCTTCCTCTTCCTCTTGGCAGGAATGGGCAGCCCTAGCCCCAGGCTGGCCAGTTCCTCAAGTCGCTCTGGCAGGGGCTGTTTTGGTGCCAGGCTGGTCGCTGCAGAGGGAGGCATGAGCAAGGTGGAGGGGTAGGGACGCAGATCACAGATGGCTTCCAGGCAGACCTGGCTCCGTCCTTGGCCTTGGAACCTTCCAGAGCCTCCCAATCCTGCTGCGTAAAGATGAGCTTGTGCTGCCAGGATCGGCTGCAGGAATGGGCTATCCCCGTTTACAAGCAGGGGAGGCGATAGATGTGGAGACACCTGCCCCAGCCGACAGGGAGGCGGTTGCAGTCTGCAGCAGTGTACTTTGATAGATGCTCGGGACAGAGAAAACGACAGGATGTCTGATATAAGTCAGTGGTAACGTGAGTCAGCGTGCTTTGTCCGGTTCTTCCTTGTACAGATCTGTTTTGCCGAAGACGTCATTTTTCACAAAGAGATATTTTTCCACCTTGCAGTTATCTTTGTGTTAGAAAGAGGAGGAAACCAGCTTACATGCTGGGTTGTTTCTCTGCATAAAGCTCCTCCTCCAAAACTCTCCTATTAAATCAGGGCCTGAGAATTAAAAAAAAAAAAATCCAGAGGATTCTCAGTTTATTCTGAATAACTGAGCTAAATAATATTGTAAATGTTGACAGATGTTATTTATCAAATTTGAACTGGCCAAGCATTAAAATATCCTACATATTTAATATTTTAAAAAGTGAATAAAATATACTATTTATTTTTAAGCTACAAAATTAGGTTCAGATATGTCTACTAAAAACCCATCTGCTGACATATTTAAGGTTACTTGGTAAAAAAAAATTGTTTAGGACTGGGTCTACAAACAAAACCATTTACATGTAAAACATTGTTAATTATTGGTTGTTTGACTTAATCTGGGTGACATTTAAAACTGGTTTGTGTGTGTAGAGTCTAAATGTGAATCTCGTTTATAAAAAGACAACACTTTTGATTAAAGTTCTGAGTAAGGGTTATGTAATACATTATTATAAAATGGATTAAAACTGCTTAAGTGTTTTTCCCAAAGAGAACCTTATGATAAACTCTTCTATAATTCTGTAAGTGTCTCTGATTACTTTGTCTTGAAACTAAAGGACTTTAAGAACTAGCTTTAATTACATGCTGGCTGTGTCCAATGCTGGAGGGCTTGGCCTGTGCTTCCTCGTTCATTCAGATGCCAATCCAGCAAGACAAGTGTTGGTATCATCCCCATTTTACAGATGAGGAAACTGCAGGCCAGTAAGGCTTCCTCCTCCCCGGTCAAGTGGGAATTCAAACTCGAAGAGCTCGTGTGCTTCCTGACAGTGCAATGCTGCTCCTCGGGGCTCCAGAGGCTTGTGGGGATTTTTAATGGTGGCATCTTATTACATCCCAAACTATAAAGTAATAAATACAAATGGATGCAAATTAGCACACTGGGCAGATGTCATAAGTAGCAAGGGTTTTGAACTTCGCCTGAAGTCTCCTTTTGTCATGGCTGGCAGCTTGTTACAGCCGTGGGGTTGAGAAATGTTCACCCAGTGTGAACAGAACCACTGCATGACCATTAGGGGACGTTTCCAAATGGAATCTGCCCTGTGGAATTTTAGGCGAGAACTAATGTTATGTTACAAACACGGACTCCACATACAATGCGAACTGCTAACTAATGGCTAATGGGGAGAGCTGAAAACAATTCCAATGTTAAAAAAAAAATCATTCAGTGGCTACTGAGCCTCTCCCACGCCCAGCTGCTCGGACACACAGAGTCCTCGACGAGCCAGGCTTGTCTGCTGGGACAGAGAAGTACATCCAGAGTAAACGAAAATATTTCTAGATGGACGTGAAGAGAGTTCTAAATGTGAAAGTGATATATAATGAAGGTTAAAAAAAGGAAACGTTGGCCGGGCATGGTGGCTCACACCCGTAATCCCAGCACTTTGGGAGGCCGAGGTGGGCAGATCACCTGAGGTCAAGAGTTTGAGACCAGCCCGGCCAACATGGTGAAACCCTGTCTCTACTAAAAATACAAAAACTTAGCTGGATGTCGTGGCTGTGCTTATAATCCCAGCTATTCGGAGGCTGAGGCAGGAGAAGCACTTGAACCAGGGAGGCGGAAGTCACGGTGAGCCAAGATAGCACCACTGCACTCCAGCCTGGGTGACAAGAGTGAAACTCCGTTAAAAAAAAAAAAAAAGTGGGGGAGAAACATTTTCAAATAACAGTCTTCTGGCTCATAAGAATACCATTCATTTCAAAATGGACAAGTTAAACTTGAGGAACACTAGGAACAAACAGCAACACTTAATGAAATATTGATCAGAGGTTGCATGCTATTGAAACTGAAATAAGTCCCTAGGGCTTCATTGCCCAATCTCAACCAAGACAGACCGACAGACTTTTGAGTGAGCAGCAGCGTAGCACATTTCTGATGTGTGTTTTTCAACACATTTGATTTATTGGTTAAGTGAAGTCACCGATGAGCAAATATCTTTGGGAATCCCCCACCCCCCACCCACTGGCCATCTGCATTTAGAGAATCCCAGAAATCTGTGCTGGTAGAGGAGGGGGGACAAAGAATAAGACATTTTAGGTTTGAGTTAGTCCATTAGGGAATTCGATGTGTTTGTGCTCATTTTAAGCAGAAGAAATACATTGCTAGAAGAAGAAGAGAATCCCAGCTCGATTTCTGCCCACTGGAGTCCATGGCACAACTTCCAGATGGTGATATTCAGATTCTTTTGATATTTCTCCAGCTAGGGATATGAAATACATATAAGAAAAAAAAAATCTTATGCCCTGGAAGAAAAATAAGCACGTCCTAACTATTGACAATCTCGTATCTATATTTAGTGAAACGATCACCTCCTATTTGAATGTCATGAGGTCAGCCACTGGGGCCACTAGAATCTAAACCTCATTCAGCCAGCCCGTCCCGTTCTCCTGGCATTCCCAGTGCTTCAGACAGGGTCTGGGATGTCGCAAGGGCTCGGAACGATGTCATGATCAGGTGACATGATGACCGTCAGAGACGAATGTAGAATGGGCGATATTTGAATGAGAAGTACCTTTTGGGCAGTAATTTAAAATAAGGGGTAGACCTTGAGGAGCTCATGGTGTTATTTGATGATGCCGTCTTCCTGACCCTTTCCAGAGGTTCTTAAATAACTGAGGAAGAATAAGGAAGACCCAGGAAGAGATTCCAAAGAGCACGTGGGTAATTCACAGATAAGGGAGATACACAGTGTTTGAGAAATTCAGTAGCACCAAACAGCAGACTGAAATCAAACTGGGCAGTGGACTCGCTCACTGCGCTCAAACACGCAGGCAGCATTTGCATCTCAGAAGTCATTTTTGGGAATTAATTTGAAGAGGGAAGGATTTTCCTTTCCTTTCCTTTTACAGGATGGTTCCCCCTAATGAACTGTTTTAAGCGGACGAAAGAATTCATTTGGCACGCTCGTGCTTAAAACCCACAGGAAAAAAAGCAAAGTTCTCTTAAGGATGTCAGCTCCAGACTAGAGGAGTCCGTTTGAAAAATCTTGCTTTTGAGAAAGTGGCAGAATTACATAATTATTCACAACTCATAAGAAATTAAAATACTTCTTCCAAATATGAAGTTGTGAGATAACAAAAACCACAAATTCTAGACTCGCGGAGGGTGTGTGCATCTTTTACCCTCCCACACACAAACCCACATCAAAGAGTCTGGGTGGCGCTGGGCCGGAACTCGTGGCCACGCTCGCCTGGGTGCGCCTGGGCCACGGGAGGAGGCTGCCGGGCCGCTCTTCCCCAGCACCTCCCTGAAGGAGCTCCAGGGGCAGCGAGGATGCTGAGGACGCAGCGCCAGAGAGGCAGGCGGCGGCCCTGCTTGGAGCTGGTCCCCACGAAGCACACGGAGAGCACGAGGTTCCTTCTCGCCCACTCACAGCAACGCTGCACGAGGTGAGGAACGACCTGGAAAAGTCCCAAAGTAAAGGCATCGGGTGATGAGAGGAATCTGGGGTGGAGCAGTGGTCAGACCGGACCCCAGGGCTCTGTCATTCTGGGCAGGAGCCCCTGCCCTGTTGTCCTGGGTGGGCATAACTTTGAAAATCAGGGCACTTCGTCTAGTAAGACTCATTTTAAAAAGCTCATGTTACCTGTTGAAAACCCAAGGGAGAGTGGCCTTTGGTGGATGGAGTAAACATCGCTCATTCAGTCCCATCTTACGGGTGAGGCTGCTGGGATTCCAAAGTCAAGTCAAGCAGATGGGCTTCCCGTCTGCAAGGAGAGTCCCACCTAGGAGGCCTGTCTTCTGGGAAAACTGTGGGCACTGGATGAGCAAATAGTGCATGGTGCTGCCGAGAGGAGATGCAGGTGGGGGGTGCCCAGCAGCCCCAGAGGAGGGCTGGGGTGGAGGTCGGGAGAGGAGGGCTGGGGTGGAGGGAGGGAGAGGAGGCCTGGGGTGAGGCTGGGAAAGGAGATTGAGCCCTCGAGCATGGAGTGGGCACGGGCCAGGGGCACTGAGGGAGCAGCCTGTGCAGAGATGAGGGGGCAGCAGACAGACCTGTGTATCTGTGGGGGGGATCCTTGAGTGGGGAGGGCTGAGGAGTGGGGACAGGCAGGAGACTGTTGGGACTGGCTATGGGGAACGGTGGATGGGTGTCGTCTGGGGTGCCAGTCTAGCAGCACTGGAGAGGCAGGACTGTGTGGTCAGATGGGGGTGCGGCTGGCTAGCTGGGAGACCCCCAGAAGCTCAGCAGGAGGTACCAGGGCCTGAGCTGTTGAGACGGGGAGAAATGCCAAGGACGCCGCCCAGGCAGAACCCAGACGGACCTGGGCCTCCCTGTGGGGGCCATAGGTGCCTGGTAGTGCCCTCTCAGTGGTGGTACCCCCCCCACCGGTGAAGGCAAGGAGATGACTGGTGAACACAGCCTGCCAGTGGGCAGCATGTTTAGATTGAGGACTTGGGAGCAAAGTCCTGGGCATGTAGGTGGCAGCTGAGGCCATTGCAGGGTGGGCATTCCTGGGCAGTGGGTGTTTAGAGGGCAGGGGAGACTGTGGGAAGAGCCCCAGATGACCCGGCCTCTAGAGGTGGACCAGGAGGTGGGCCAGGAGGCCGGGAGGGTGGGAGAAGCCCCCATGGGGAGTGGCACCACCAGAAGGCGGAGGCAGTAGCGGGACGGTCATGGAAACCTCCGAGAAAGAAAGGGCTGAAAAGTCTGTGGAAGCCTCTGGGTCAGGAGGTCCTGGGAACCATTGCCCAAGCAATTCCTGGAGACAGAAGGCTCACTGCGTCGGGCTAAAGTGAATGGAGCTGGAGGCGGGTGGAGATGGTGGAGGACAGAGGCTGTGGCTGACTCATTTCAGGGTCCACTGTAGTGCTTGGCACACAGTGAGTGCCCGGCACACAGTGAGTGCCCAATCCATACATTCCAATGGGAACTGTTTCCCCCTATTTCCGCAGACCTCCATTAGCAATGCTTTTTTGCCAGTATCCTCTTATTTAACATTTATAAAAGCACGTAGCCTCAAAACAGAAAACAGGCTCGTGGGCTTGACCAAGGAAGAGCAAGTGGTCAGCTGCAGACCCGTCCCGCCGGTGTTTTTCCATGTTCCCCGTTGGTCTTCATAGAGTCTCCGCTGCAGAGGGGGTCTTATCTTTGCTTGCACCTTAACTGCCTGGGGCACGGACTTCAACACGCCATTTCTGTCTTATGCTTTGAGTACCTTCCATTTGCCAGAACCGTGAGGGACCTGGGGCTGCTGCCCTTTGGGAGCTCACAGTCTAGTAGTGTCTTTGCTTAGCATGGTGGAAACTGGATAAAACCAAATTCTCTGGAAAAATGATGGCTGGAGAGGAGGCAGGGCCCAAGGAGCATCAGCAGCAGCCCGTTTGTATGTGGAACCCCTTGAAGGGACCAGATGACCAAGAGAACTGTGTGACAATGAAACAGTGGCTGCAGGAATAAGGGCAGTGCCTTCAATAAAGCTGACCTCTGGAGAATTAGCCAGCCTTATGGCAGAGAAGCTCTGACAGCGAAGGGGTTAAAATAACAAATAAATGACTTTATTTAGACGTTAGCATTTCTGGCATTTTTTTTTTTTTGCCAGAGTATTTGATGTGACAGGTTTTGTTTGCTCACACTTGTCTCTCTTTTAAAATTCTCATATCAGCAGTAAAAGCTATTTCTTTTTCCTGTAACATCTTGAGCTTGGTATCCAATGATGGGGGAAATTGCTCTTGCATTCCTTGAAATTATAATATTATGCCTAATTTTTGGGGAGAAAAATGAGAGTAATTTAGATCTGCAGGCTTCCGGAAGCCTGCAGGCAGGTCAATTGCAGCGTTCTTGCTGATTAGTTATCTAAAACATGTTTTCACCCCAGGGCAGGCGCTACCATTTCTGGCATTCTCCAGAAAGGCTGATTTCGAGACCTGTCTGGCAAAGGCAAAGATGGTCATCACCCATTTCGGAGGTGGCAGTCTGGCCTTGGTGGGCTCTTGTTAGGGAGTGGGGAGCCCCGGACCATCCCCTCATTCACTGTTAGGGAGCAGGTGAACAAGTGGACGGAACCAGGATGCTCTCCTGGCTCTCTTCGTGAAGCCGCCTGTCACCATCAAAAGCCTCAGTGTCGCCCTTGGTACCACGGTAACTGAACACACAAGTGTAAAGGATGCCTCTCTGAAGCAGGCAGTCGGCTTCAGGCACCGATGACCTGGAAATCATCGGAGCATGTGGAAAGGTCATGGAGGGAAGTCTGTCTTCTTGACTCTGTGAGATCACGTGTAGGCTATCAACAGAGCAGAATGTGTTGCTGATCATTTTAAAAGCAAGTTGGAAGTTTGCTCCTAGGAGTGAGACTCTGCCATCTTTCCCAGTTTCCTTTGTTTTTCTGCAGGCTTCTTTTGGTCACTTCCGGTCCCCACAAGCGTGCTACCTCTTCGGCCACTGATTTCCAGGTGAGCGTACACATCCTTTGTGTGCGTAGCTAATGGGAACTCTTCACTCCTTACATCTTTTGGTGGGGCTGGGTGAAATGCATTCTGCAGTTTTCGGCGTGGAGGGACCAGCCAGTCTCCACTGGCTGGTATTTCCCAAACTTCTCTGTGTGTATCGCTGAGAGCACTGCATTACCACTCTAAAGAAGAGACGGCAGAGCCAAATGCCAGTGGAATTCTGTCATGTGGGCTGCAGTGTAAACTGTGGTAGGGTTGAACTAAGGACTGTTCTAGAAAAGCCTGTAAGTAATTAAGTTCTCCCTCCAGCAAGGTAAAAGCTGAGTCTGATGTATATTAGTACAAAAAAGAGTGAAACCTTTGTTGGTGGTTATATTTTTTTTTCTCATTTTTTAATGTAAGTAAATAAAGAATTCTGGCAAGACAAAACAATCTCCCATCTCCTTCCTGACCTAAGGAGAGAAAAACAAAAGATGTAGTCGTTGTTGGCTGCGTGTGTTAAATCGCTGAGGTCAGGATGAAACTTACATTACCCCGTTTCAGCAATTCCCAAACCATGTTCCTGGGAATAGAAGAAAGTTCCTGGGGAGGGTGGGAGAGGGGCGAGGATGATTTTGTAGCCAACGGCATTTCAGAAACCTCGCATATTATATTCCCTCCTTTGGAGATTCTCAGTGCACTTTAGTGTATTTTTTAAAAAGGTGCAGTGTGCCTTTGATGAGCTCAGCGTTTTCTCATCCCCTGTGACCACAGAATCCTTCTGCACAGGGCACCTGCTCACGTCTTAGGGTAATGACTACTTACTTCGTCCACAATGGAAATGCCATCATTAGCAATTGTTCTACCTGCCAGCCTCTGTCTCTCTCTGAGCTGGCGTCATGCCGCTTTATCTGGATCTGTGCTGTTGTGCAGTCCATTGTGATGTGTGTGTTAAACTTTGAAGATAGATTGCCTTTGTATATCTTTTTCTCGCATTGTTTCACTTGTTATGCTAAAATCAAATTAGTTTTGGAATTGGAGAATACAAGTAAATGACTGTTCTTAAAGATTAAAAAATAAAGTGGTGGAAATAAGAAAAAATAATGCTTGCAGATTGCTGGGCACATGGAGGCACTCATCCAAGGTCCTGTTTTGTGTTGTGACCCATTTCATGGTCCCGGTGTTGCGGTCTGGGGAAGCCTACAGACCCTTTCTCAGAGGAATGTTTTTAAAAGAATAGATTAAAGTGCTGAGAGTCACAAAGGAAACCTGTTCTACTGAAATAAGGTTACAATATATCAAAAGCCACCTTTGTGATGTATATTCATATGTGCTTCTTTATTAATACTTAAATAAGAGGTAGTGGTGTGAATTTAACAACTACCATGATTTCGATGTAGTGACGAGTGCAGGTGATATTTTGAGATACTGCAAAAACTTTGATGTGTTAAAACATTTGTGATTTCCTTTGACAGCAAAGTCACAGACACCGCAAATACCACTGAAGTTTCTTGCCTACGTTTATAATTGAAGCAAATCTTCTAAGGGTCTGTTAGAGAGTTTTGAAAATAAAGGTAGGATTTTTTCCCCATTCAATTTTACAAACCACCTTGAGGCGTATGGTAACTACCAACAGGTCAAAGTTAAGTCTGCTTCATTTGGGGAACGTGAGTTGATAATTTATAAAATCAAATCTTGGTGTGTAAGGGGACCGGGCAGGGCAGCTTGGGGACTGCTCAGGAGTTAGGCTTGCCAGCAGGATAAGCCTGACTTGGAGTGGCCAGCCAAGGTCAGCAGGGTGCCCTGTGCCCACCCCGCCGGAGCCCCCCAGCTGCAGCAGGCAGTGGAACCATGCACAGTGCCCCACGCTGTTTTTCACAGTTTCCGATTTTTAGACTTTTTCCGCTTTTATCCATGTATTCTCATTTTTGGGGGATACAGCTGCAGCTTCTGTTGGCAGTCCTTTTCTGGAGGCATTACTTTGAGTTAATCTTTGGTCATTCCTGGCTCTCTTGAAGTTCTCAATCCACAGGATTTCCGCGGGAGCCCGAGGGCTTGGGTAAACACACTCACACCAGCGCCTCTGTATCCATCTCTCTCTCCCAGGCCCCTTTGAGGGATTTGGCATTTGTGAAGGAGGATCGTGTCCTTTGCCACAAAGTCTAACAAACTGGGAAGTCTGAAGACCCAGAGCTAAAGATTCAGGCCCTTGCAGCTGTTTCTTGGATATTCTCATAACCAGCTCACCACTTAATTATTCATCAAATCACCTTCTAGAAGCTGTAGGGCAGTGGTTATCAAACTGTGCGTCATGACACGTTAGTGGCGTAATCCAAGTAATCTAGTGAGTTGTGACCAACATTTAAACAATGA